CTGCCCTGATATACATTATTTACAAGGCAATTTTACACCTACTATTATGATTCAAATATAAATGTCCCTCCAAAATTCATGTTGTACCTTAATCTCCAATACAACAGTATTAAGAGGTGGGACTTTTGAAGATGATTAGGTTATGCAGGCCCCTCCCTCATGAATGGGATTAAGGCTCTTAAAAAAGTCTTCACACAGGGTTTGGCCCTTTTTGGCCTTCCACCTTCCACTATGTAAGGACCAAGTGTTCCTCCCTTCTGGAGGATGCAACAAGGGGTCATCTTGGAAACAGAGAGACCAGGCCCTTACAAGGTCTCCTTAACCTGCCAGTACCTTAATAATCCTGAACTTCCTAATACCCAGAACTGTGAGGAAATGAATTTCTGTTCTTTATAAATTACCCACTCTGCTGTACATTGTTGCAGCACAAACAGACCAAGAAAGACACCTAAAGAATAAAACATTGCCTTAAAAACAAAAAGACCACATACCTGTTTTTTGAACTTGAAGTTGAATTCCCACATTGGTTCCTGTCTGTTCCCAACAATCTTTCTGCACCAGAAAAGTAAGCACTGTAAGAGATACAAATAAAATAAACCAAGAAAAAAGAAAAAAATCAAAATACACATTATAAAGGTTAACAAAAAATAATCAGCAAAAACCTCTGTTCAACAGCTCTAAGTCAGGCACAGTCTCAATGCTGAGATTTTACATTGGCACAGACAGAGACCCCCAACTTGACACTGGTGCAACATGAAAACAGACAATCCTAGAACTGTTCAGTAAGGAAAAGAGGGACCAATATAAGTCAACCTCAAAGACCACTGACATTAACCCCTATTGTTCTCCTCTTTAAAGAAAGAAACATGGTATCTACAGATTGGGGCAATCTCTGGTTCACCAGGTCACTCCTCTACATTAAAGTATTAGAGCAGCCAGTAGCCACCAGGCACGATAACAAGGCCATAAGGCAGCCAGGGTGGGCTGGTCCTGTAGTAGAAGCAAACTGCTCAGGACCTTCTGGGAGCAGACAGCTGGTATGGAAACTACTGAGCTAGGCTAAATTCAGTCTAGAATAAGCCCCTCAGTGAAGTCAGGCTATAGCTAGGGTTAAGCACAAGAAGTGAAGTACCTCCCAGGGGATAAGGGGTGGGTCGTCCGCCGTGCCAGCTGTCCTGCCCTTCAGACATGCCCTGTACGTCCTGCTGTTCCATCAAAATTAATGGGCTTGGCTTTAAGGGGAAAACATTTCTGCTGCCATCACAACGGCTCCAGTGTCCCACACAAGCTATGCTACTGAAAAGAGAGAGAGGGGGAATCAAATGCGAAAAGCTAGAGTCTAGGAACATGGGACAACTTCCTTTAGGCATGCTGGCAACTCCCTGAATGCCATGCGATTGTGGGTATACAAGTGGCAAGGCCATGCATGGGATACCTGCCACTGCAGGCCCCACACCCTCTTCACAAGATCTCTAACAGGGCACAAAAGAAGCAGCCAGATGGCCTGGACTTACTATCTGGGTTAAGACCTTAGTTTTCATTCACTTTGGCTTTTTACAGTCTACTTCAAAAAAATTAATATATAGTAATAAGGATGTGAAGATATGAGTATTTTAGAATTTAGGCAGTAGCACTTGCATTATGCACTGGAGCCGCTAAGATGTGTCAAGCACGAGGAGTTTGCCCAATGCTGCTCTGCTCCCAGCAATTGATTCACTCCTGGCATGGCTAACTTAGGGATAGTTAGCCACCATAGTTAGTCTGATATTATCAAATGTTTCTGGGGAGAGGGACACTATACTGTGAAGTGATACACTGTATACTCATATTACAAGCAGAAGCAGCTGCTGGATGAAATCCTACTCTCCCAGCATTCTACTCCTGCTCTAAATCTATCAGCTAGCATGGTATTACACAGCACTCAGCCAATGGCCCTGACCACCTTAGCTCGCAAGCCTGGGGAAGGAATCTTGACAATCCTGAAATCAAGAGTACCTTTTTAATTAGTATCTATCAAATAGAATAGTATCACCCTAGAACTAAACTAGGGAAGAAGAATCATTATACAATGTCCATTACCATAAAAACAAAGTACAAGAGAATGGGAAGAGCTATACAACATCAGACTGTGGGTAGGAACAGACTAACAAAAACTGCCTACAAACTAAAAGATATAAAATTTAGACAATGGTATTAGTTGAACAGGAAAAGGCTGAGATATCAACTTGCCTAAATAATCATATCTGCTATATCAGTCGAGATTTCATTAGGGGAAAGAGAATGGACCAAAGGCTAGTAGATTTATTTATAAATCAGAAGAATGCCAGAAACTTGAATATAAGGCACAAATATTAAATACTAGAGAAATCCTGAATTAAAAATAGCCTAAAACACAGGAAGAATTTTAGAGAACAAAGGTCTATGAATCAGAGAACCTTATAATCTCTGAGATGACCCAATACAGGAGCCTGGCAATAGGCTGGCACAGGGCACTTAGTAAATGCTAAATAAGAAAGCCTACACTAGAATCCTTTAAGGAAGTCAAGAATAAAGGGGAACCCCAGATGTTCAGGTCACATCAGAAAGTGAAAATTAGTGAGTTGTTCATGTTATATCTTTGTATAGTGATTTAAAGCACCTTTTACAAATTATAGCATACAGTTGCCATTTGACTTGTACTCTTTCTAGCCCAAACCATCAAAACCATTACATCTGAAGTGGTCCAATGTACTATGCATGAAAATAAATTAAAATAAAAGGAATAAGGAATACGCTACAAGCACAAGAAAGCTTTAAAGTAAAGAAAAGCCAGACCAGCATAGCAGGAATGTCTTGAAGAAGTGAACCTCTGAGCCCTGCAAGTTTACATCAGTGCCCTAGCAGCCTGGGACCCACACTCCTCCCCATCTAAGAAGCTGAAGACAAGCCATGATTAACAGGTTCACCATACAAGAGTCCATTAGTCAACACTCAATTGCTAATTCTCACTTACTTTGGAATTCTTTAATGTGCTGGGAGTGCTTTCTGGAATGGCTGGATTCTTGGAGATTCGAGCAGCAAATGGCTCATACATATGGTACAAAGATCGGATCACACATGCCCGGAGACAGCGCAGCTTCTCCATTGACTCTGGTCGCAGGCGCAAAGGCAGAGAAGCATCCAGCGTGTAGTGCCTGAAACATGACACATTACTCCTACCAATATGTGACCTGTTTCTCCTGCTCTAGGTCATTCTCCTAACACTCTTGGTCTCTGTATAAACTTTACTGCACTATTATTACACTGCCAGTAGTTAGCTTGTCCTCATTACTTACACATGTAGAAATCCCTATCTCAACCTCTCAGCAACTTTTGCTTCTTTGCCTTATAATGCTGTACTTCACCGTCTATTTTAAAAGTTTAAACCTAACTCTTTCACTCTACAAAAGAGCAAGCTCTCCAAATTGATACCAGTATAATATACTTCAGTTGCTCCAAAAGAACCTATAGTGGGGCAGAACCACCATCCCGTCAGATGTCTCAGCAAGTCTCTTCTCCTTGCTACTCCAACATCCCTTCTCACTGCAACCTTACTGATAGTTTGCAATCTCCACTATAATTACACATCAAGCACCAAAAGCTAGCTCTTTTACTAATCACAGAATTCACTCACTCCTTACCACTACAACTACATATAAGATACCACAAATACAAAAACCATATGATACTTCATAATGACTAGCAAATCCAAGAAACAATTAATCCAGTTGGAAAAATAAGCATACTGACATCTGTAGCTTTTCAACATTCCAGCTAAAATAAACCTCTGAAGAAAAGTCAAGATAGTTCTTTTTGGGACCAGAAGCAAAACTTTTTGCTGGAAGTGGATACTGGAGGGTGAAACGAAGCAACCACAGGGAAAATAAACATCTGGATAACTAATAATATCAAATTTAAATTTAAATTAGAGAGAGGCTCAAGGAGTCCACAGCTAGGGTCATGCCCAGACATAAAATAGAAAAAATAAGAGGAGGTCACCATCCAGTAAGTAGCTCCCAATCACAAACAGCAATGAAATCAGCTACAAAAATAACCAAGTGAGCTCTCTTTGGTCGCACCTTCGGTACAACCTGGTCCAAAAGGCAGCAGTGCAAGTGACAGTCCAGGCATTCTTACAAATCAGGGAAAAATTCACAATGTCCTCAGGACGGATATAGGAGGCCAGCAACAGCCAAATATCCATGGGATACTCTTCTCCTCCAGCCCCATCCAGGTCTTCTGAAACAGAAATTAGAATAATAATCTTTAGTCTTATACTACACACATATCTACAGATACTCAATCATTTCAATTCTCCCAGAGATTACAATGTTAAAAAAAAAAAGTTTAAATAAGTCCAAGGAACCCCTCACACTTATTTCCCATTTATTCTAGCTACTAGAAATTTACCTCCTATTGCTCAACTGAATAGATCTTGTTCTTAAAACCTTTACTTCAGGTTCGGTGCCCATACCTCAGTGGTTAGGGTGCCAGCCACATACCCCGGGGCTAGCAGGTTCAAACCTGGCCCGGGCCTACTAAACAACAATGATAACTACAATAACAAAACAAATAGCTGGGCATTGGG